TTTTATATATATATATATATATATATATATATATATATATATATATATATATATATATATATATATATATATATATATATATATATATTTTTATTGATATATATATATATATATATACAATTTTTAATTGTAAAAGAGATATAAGACAATATAAGAAATCCTAAATTTTAAGCGGTCAGCATCAATTTTGGCGATGCCTCCATATCTAAGAGTCATTATCATATTAAAGTCTACACTTCCTGTGAATTTGGTGCTTTCTTCACAAAGTGCATGATTTTCTCAAATATCTGTGCATATCCGCTGGACTAATTATACAACTCAAGCTGTTGCGAGCAATTTTGAAATCACAATCGCCAATCCGATATAAATTGATTTCAACAAATGAATGTAATAAAATAAAGTAATACAACGCAATTAATCATGACCATATAAAACCACTAACCCTTGTAAAGGGTAACACATACGTTCAGTAGGTACGAACAAGAAATACAACGTCTAGCGAAACAAAATTACAGACACAAGATAACAAAGCAATATATAAAAAGTTAATTTTCATGGCAAGCTTTTTATTTTTTGATATTAGAAAGTTTAAGCTTCGCGTTATACGTCAAGCGGTAAACGGCAAACGCCAGGCAAAGAAAAATGTTACGGCATCAGGCAATAAAGAGTAAATGAACTTGCTGTTTTAAAACTGAAATACATGCATAATTATTCTATCGACACAGGAAAGAAAATATGAAACGAAAACGTTCAACGGAAATATTGCCAAGAAAGTTTGAACCTGCCGTCTGCCGTTCCAGGAGACGTGAAGATTAAACTCCCTATTGCTTGATTGGCCTTACCCCGAGCTACTAAATGAAAAATTCTGTTATAATACCCTATTCTGCTACCGCCTAAGCAAACGTTTCCCCAAATTGTGATGTTTCAAGGTAAAGTGAAAAGGCCATGGAAAATACCCTCTTGACCCCAGGGTCAATTAAGAGCCGGATGGCGATTGAATTTGTGTCGCTGCCTTCGCCAAGATTAAAGTTTGTGGTGGAGGCAGATGTTATTTAGAATAATGCATGGAGACTTACGGAAACAGTTTTTTTTGATAGAGGAAAACTGCACATTGTTTATTTCCGGCGGAAATTTCTGTACTTTAGTATTCGCGGAGGCAAAAATAACTGATTTGATTGAATTATAAAGTGAAAGGATAGGATAGGATAAAACTTTATTTGACTACGCTGGCCACTTCAACAGAAGCTGCTTTCCTAGTGGGGCGTAGATATAATTTTTAATGTAACCAAAATATATAAAATAGAAAATCACTGAACAATATTAAGAACTACGAAAACAAAATAGTATATTATAAAACAAGTGGTAGCCTACAATAGTCAAATAGCTAATTCGTCAGACTAACAAAAGAAAGAAAACATATCGTATGTTACAGCGTCCTGTTCAGTGTTGAAAAAAAGACAACCTTCAACGATAAGTGGAAAATATTATATAAATCCTAAAGACCAGCATTCTAACAGGCCATTTCAAGTTCACTGCAATATGACAGATAAGAATGGTGTTGGTGTAACAGAGATTGGGCATGACAGTGAATCACGTGTACAGGTAATATTGTTTACATTGACTAATGTATGTCTGTTCAATACAATAAATTAAAACGGTCGGTGCTAGCGTAGGTAGTGCTAATAACACCAGTACCATTGGTAATGATTCCAACCAACCTGTTGCCAGACATAGGCCTAGCAATCACAGTTTCGGACATCAGAATCATGTGGAAAGCACAGTGTCTCAGACATGAGAATTCGAGCCATTTTTTGGTAACATTGATAGCCGAAAGAAAACATGATATGTGCCTCTTTTCTAAGCTTGGCACTCTCTACCACTTTGGTATAAATGAACGCTTTCCTATGTTTAGCTATATGTGTCCTTGTATAATTTTCATTTTCACTTTATTACCTACTTGTTTCATTATATTCCTTACATATTTTAATTATCATTTATATATAGCTACCTTCCTTGTTATTTATATTTTGTATATTTACTATTTTTACCAAATCAATCTGTTCGATTTATTTTTTGTCACGTGATCGTTTTTATATTCACTAGTTTAAAAACACATGTAAATGTTCTCGATCCATGCTACTAACTTCCCGACGAAGGTCCTTCGCTCGAAACGTTGAAGACTTACATGTATTTTTCAGGTAGTTCAATTCCTCTCAATCCTCAGCTGTCTATAGAAATAGTAGATACACCAGATGCGTACTTGGTCATGAAATTATGGCCCTTATACAAATCCTCCATTTTCAATTAATTAGAAGTAAGAACTACAAAGTATAAACTAAGTCAGAGTTTCCTAGTCGATACATTTTGTCTTGCTGTCTAATTAATTTTCCCTGGTGTTCTTTGTCAGTACCTGGTTTAGTAAACTTAACTCGTGCTATAAAAAGGTTCTTGCGAAAGTATTCAGCTAACTTTCCGATAGGGTACTCGTTAACGGCGTTGCATGCATGCGTGCGTGCTTGCGTGTGTGTGTGTGCGAAGTGAACCGAGATCCAGGTCGGATTAGTTTTGAAACGACGTCTGGTTTAGCGGACTGTTTTTTGTCTGACTTAGAAATATTTCTTAATTCTCAAATTGTTTATTAGACATTTACTGGTTAGGGTTAGGGTTAGGGTTAGGGTTAGGATAAGGGTAAGGGATCAGTTTGTTTTAAAAAATTCAACTTTAACTATAGTCTCTGACAATGAACGCTAGCGATATCTAGCAAAAGTGTCGCATTTTTCAGGTACATGGTTATGAAGACCGTGGAGAATACAGCAGAAGAATTAAATATAACGTTACCATGGATCACATTATTGCAATCATTACAGGATCGAATAATTGCGAACAATTTATAAAATATGAATGCCGCAACGCTGCCTTTTGGTTTGGTCACGATCGCCCATACTCTTGGTGGGTATCACGCGAAAATTTAAAGATGACTTATTGGGGCGGAGCTCAACCTAACAGTGGCAAATGTGCATGCGGAATGTCCGCCAATTGTCTCAAACCAACGGAAAGATGTAACTGCGATCAGAACGATAATGTTTGGACGGAAGACAGTGGATATCTGACAGACAAGAGTGCACTGCCGGTAATTGAGCTGAGATTTGGTGATACTACTTTTTATAATAACAACAAAGAGGTTGGCTACCACACAGTTGGAAAACTGCGTTGCTGGAATTAACCACCTATAGTGTGTGGGCCTATATAATATTAATTGCATTGAAAATCATTTATCAATCTTAGGTTATAGCAGGGCGGTTATGAGATAGGGCGGTAGAACACCAGCTAACGAGCTGAAACATGAGTGATGCACTTTAGGCACGGGGCAAACGCGGTAAGGAATGGTTTTCGACCCGAATAAGGAATCTTTTTTGTTTACAAAACATGGTGAAACTACTTAAAACTGCTTTGTAAATATGTATTCGATGGCTGGTAAACTTCTTTTAAATGTTGGCTATTGAAAGGTTGTGAAAATGAAAATAAATCTGAAGCCATTATAAGGTTTTTTTCGAACTTGAAAGATACCTACATGTCCAACGTGAATGCCCCAGTTTTTACAAGGAGGTACACGTTTCGAATTTTCTCGGCAAGATTGTCTATTTGCATGGTATTATATTTCAGACTTTGGTAAATAAAACTATAAGCATTCGGTTGTTGCCAAAATCCATGCATCCCGTCGGTTTTTGAGCTTTTCTGCAATGACCTGTTGAATTTGATGCATATAAACAGCATGTTTTTGTACACGACTATCCTTGCTGTCTCAAAGACTTGTGAAAACACCAACATTATACTTAATACTACGTTGTTTTCTTAATCGAGTGTAATTTACAATATTTTTGTTTGTGGAAACACCACGTAGATTTATTACTGCAGTAATAAATTTACGTGGTGTTTCCACAAACAAAAATATTATATATTTTATCGCCATGCAAACATTCAAAGAACTTACGAGTGTAGTTTATTGGAAAAAAGGACATGTATTTAATTTACCGGCTGGGAGATCCGTACTGAACAATATTTTCCCTTGGTCTCAGAAGCGGCCCGAGAGCAAAGATCGAGGGACGCTTCTGTATGAGACCAAGGGAAAATATTTTTCAAGTACGGACCGACCTCGATGGTAAATATCGTATTTATTTTTTTGCTCGATGCTTAAATTCCTAAAAAATCCAGTGTTGCGAACTAGATTTGAGATTAGTTGTGTTTGTTACTTTAATCCAGCTAGTGCTTCGAACCAAGCATGGCTGACATCTTGCTAGAACAACACTTTTAGCGCAATACAAATATTTTTGCCATAAATGTATGAAGATCCATCCTGTCAAGGATGTTGCAATATCTTTCACATTTAGAATTTTTGTGAACTTATCCGATTCAAATTTTTTGTATTTCTAAGATAAATTCTGTTATTTCATTTTCGTCTTCCTCCTCATAATTTTATGTACGCTATAAAACGTCATGAAATGGAAATGTATATACATTTGTGACATGGAACAAACTCCCCACTGACTTGTTGCAAAATGTCAACAATAGTACAGTAAATGTTGTAAAATCAATGTTCATCAAGTCCTCTAAGAAATTGGAAAAAAAATTTGGTGGCGGTTTTCTTACCCCTGTGTTAAATTAGCAATATTATGTTTTAAAATAAGTACTTAGAATATAGCAAAAATTGTTGTACTAATTTAATTTTAAGTGTGAGGCTGATCAGTAAGTAGGTTTCAACATTTCTGTATATTCTTACTTATATTTTGTGAAACACGGCCCATTAAAAACCAGCTAGCTTTAATTAAATGCTAATTGGCTACCGTAACTGTTAAATAATCTTCTTCAAAGACTTAATCGATTGTTGGCCGCAACTAATTAATAAGTTTAATAGATTTTACTGTTTATTCAATTTTGACCCAATGGCCTCGTTTCCAAGCTTGACTGTTTTAGCATAGCAGGGGCACATGTAGGTAATATATCCCTATAGTTCCCTGCACTAATTTATTTCCATTGATCGTAAAAGCCCAATCATAGACTGCGAACGGTCCCCGCTTTCCGAGGGTTTAGATTTCCGGGAATGAGAAAGGAAAAGAGGGACTGCAGACAACAAACCAAGAAATGAAATACGCGTTGCCCACACAACGCAAAATTCCCTTTGGTCGAAATCGATACGCCCTGTCAATCAATTCTGATATGTAGTAATTATGCTATAAATAACTTCCAGAACAGCTGAATGTTGATTTTATACCGGATGTATCAAAATAAAAGTAATCGAACTTCAGCGCGCTATTGTATGTATACACTGTAAATCTCGCGGTGTTGCGGCAACACCAAAAAGGTGTAACATTACACTAATTAGGTGTAACGCGGAATTAAACACCGTTCGAGTGTAACATTACACTTCCACAATGTAGCTTTACAGTATTTTAGTGTTTCGGTAACACTTACTAGGTGTAAAGTTGAAAATATCCTATTTACACCTAATTCGGTGTAGATTTACATGTGCGTTTTTTATATATGCGTTTTTTAATGGCACACTATCACAAAAAATTGAATTACAATGTGCTTACAATAATTACATTACTAAGTTAATAAAGATACAATAAGTCTAATACTATATTTACAATTTAAAGATTTAGGTGTGAGGAAAGTATATATTGTAATAGTTTAGATATTCAAAAACTAGTGTAGGTAGGTAGGTAAAACTTTATTTAACTACGCTAACCCCTACAGCGAAGGCTGATTTCCAAGGGGGGCGTAGATTTAAATAGTTAAAAAATACAATTGATACAAATTATGGTCATACATTACATTACATTACAGTTAACAACAATTACAATACATTTACAAATACAACTAGTATATAATTATTTACAAATTAAATTAATGTTAGTACTGTTCAATATTTTAAATTAACGTAATTATTTTATTAATTAATTAATTAATTGGCCAGGTGTCGTATACATGAATTAAACGAAGCAAGAGTGTGTTTGTTTCTTGCTTCATCAGAAAGGCTGTTCCACAATTTCGCTCCTCTATAACTAAGACTTTTTTTAAGATATTCAGTCTTAGGTTTGGGCAAAAAGAGTTTGGTGGAAGAGCCTCGCATATTATAGTAATAAGAGGAAGACGTCCTTTGAAAAATGTTGGTTAGTCGTTTTGGCGCCAGTTCGCGAGTTATTTTATACATAAGACTTGCTACGAAATGTGTTCTGCGTTCACTTAAAGGTTTCCATTTCAGTTCGTCTAGAGCAAGCTCAGATTGACCGTGTTCGTTTTTACGGCCAGTAATAACTCTAGCTGCCCTATTTTGTAGTTTCTCGAGTCGATCAGAAAGTGTGGCACCAATGGTGTCCCAAACTTCGCAACAATAATCTAGGTGTGGAAGTATAAGTGCATTATAAGCACAAATTAATGTATTATGATCCACACAAGATTTTAGCTTTCTGATCGCCCCAATTCCGGATGAAATCTTCTTAGCAATTTTATCAATATGCTTATCCCACAATAGAAATTCGTCAATATGAACTCCAAGCGCTTTTGTTTCTTTGACCTTTTTAATTGGTGTATCACCAACAAATACATTTGGAGCAGCAAGTAAATTATTCATGTTGTACCGAGATCCTATTAGTAGATACTCAGTTTTGACTAGATTAAGAGATAATCTATTTGCAGTAAGCCATTGTTTAACGTTGGTAAGGTCATGATTTATGGCCACCTCTACATCTTGGATTGACTTGCCAGATACAGTTAGAGTCGTATCGTCGGCAAACATTCTTGTCGACGAGTACTCCAAACTGTTAGGCAGATCATTAATGTAGATCAAGAATAAGAGTGGGCCAAAAATTGAACCTTGAGGGATTCCACATGTAACCAACTTCGTGCCCGACAGAGCGCCATTAACGGAGCACATTTGGGTTCTATTCGCTAAATAGGATCCTAAAAGGTTTAATGATGGCTTCTGTAGGCCATAAAGATCAAGTTTCGTTAGAGGATGTCATGATTTATGGTGTCGAACGCCTTTTGTAAGTCCAGAAAAACAGCTATATTAAACAAACCACGGTCCATATTAATAAACCATTCATTTGTAGTATCTAAAAGAGCAGAGGCTGTAGAATGAAACTTCCTGATGTGTCATGATGACATATTTAAATCTCGGATCATACTTGGGAAAAAACTTTTCTGAAAACGATCTGTTCTACATTTGAACAACGACCAATTGTTAGCGTTACGTAAATCGTAGTTCACGTTTTCTCTAGTCTGAGGTAAGAAATAAAACAGGCGGTTGCCATCAGTTATCTTTTTAATCGTTCTTTCACACAAAGCATCGCGTCTCTCATCTAGGCGGGAACAATGGAGCTGACTCAAAGGTTCGCGGTAAGACCTGCCAGGGAGGATTATATTCAGTGCTCTTTTCTGAACCCGTTCAATTGAGTCCGCCAGATAAGCTGGTATATTGTTATGCCATACAATGCAGCAGTACTTTAGTACGGAGCGAATGAGAGCATAGCAAATAAGGATCAGTTCATGAGGTGGGATTCCACCCCGTTTAAGAACTCTAAGAATATGAAAACGCTTGGAGGCCTTTTTAACAATCATGGCAATATGCCCATTCCATTTAAGATTATCCTGTATAACCAAGCCAAGAATCTTATGATGGGAAACGATTTCCAGGGGGTGTCCCCTCAAATTGAGACGCTCTAAAATGGGGCGCTCTTTAAGGAAACAGACGTGCATCTCTTTGCATTTCTTTGGATTTAGCTTCATTAGGTTGTTATCAGCCCACGTGTTGACCTCGTCAAGGTGATTCTGCATACGGGATTTACTGTTTCTTGACAGGGATCCTGAAATTGATAAATCATCCATGAATTTCCAAGTACCAGTATTCCCTGGGGATGGGATCTTTAGATCGTTGATCATAATAAAAAATAAGATTGGTCCCAATTTTGTACCTTGTGGAACACCGGCTGTAACCGCCAACCAGTCCGAGGTAGCGCGATCAAGTCTAACACACTGTCTACGGTTAGATAGAAAACTTATAATCCATGGGATCAGAGAGAGCCTTACTCCGATGTCGATAAGCTTATTAATAATCACATTATGTCCGATACAATCGAAGGCCTTTGTGTAGTCTAAAAATAATAGACGGATATGCTTATCAGGAGCATAGATTAAGGAATGAATAGATGGCTCACTCCTTTGATGTTTTTGACGCTGCCGGCGCCCACGCATGTTCTTGCCAGAGTAATGGCGGCCTAGCAAGTAACTGTAGTAAAATGCATTGTAAAATTGACATCGGTGCTACTAAATTCTGTATTTTTATAATTCTGATTTATCTTTCCATTAAACCCCCAAAAGCGGAAAAATACGGGATTTAATAGCACGGATGTCAATTTTACAATGCATTTTACTACAGTTACTTGCTAGGCCGCCATTACTCTGGCAAGAACATGCGTGGGCGCCGGCAGCGTCAAAAACATCAAAGGAGTGAGCCATCTATTCATTCCTTAATCTATGTCAGGAGAGTCAAGGTGGAATAGCCAATTATGTGTCATATGGAGAAGGCAGTATGCTGTTGATGATCCTTTCAAACAACCAAATTGCTGTATGTCAAGATTATTCACGATGTCTTTCATCATCCATTGTACAACAAAGTCCTTCATGTACAGTGATATTGTGACGATACTACGACATCTAGATCTATCTCTCACAATCCACAAAGCGTACCAAGAAGTACTTATTGTGTTGAGAACATCATAAACTGTGCAATTTAGTTCTATACGATGTCAACAGCTACACATCAAACTCAATCATCAAATATAAATCGATATCCTGAACTAAAACTATCGTGGTCTGGTGATTATGAATCGCTGAAAATGTTTGTTGATAGCGAACTAAATTTCGAAGGAACTTGGTCATCGATCGGTGGGGAGAAAAAGTTGTTTAAAAGCAAAAACGTTGATATCCATTGGTGGGTTAAAAAAGAAGTTTCTTAGGATAGAGGGAAAGCAGGCAAGTGAAGTTAAACGTTCAATTCTGATGTTGATTTTGCATGACATTGGTTCTGACGACCATAATATTCGCTCGTCTCATAACATGTGTAAATGCCCTGAAGTCAGTTCTGATATCGAAGGCGTTAAATTGGATGTCATTATCTTGGAATCAACAGTGAAACAACAGGCAGATACGCTTGTTAGTTTGCAGGAAACCTTGGCGAAATTAGAAGCATCAACAACCGATGCAAAATCTATACCGTTGGATCAACTAAGTAAATCTCCCAATAATACATCGGCTGAATGTGTTGTACAATGTACGAATTATAATAGCCCTATTGCGTCTGTGATTACACCTACTTGCTTGTATTTCTCGGACGAACCTGAGCAGAATAATACGGACAATATAATCGAAAAGCAGAATAATACGGACAGCATAGTCGAAACCTTAGTAGGAAAGTATTTGCCTAGTCATTCCAAGTCAAATGTTAAGAGTTGTTCAAATAATACTCCAATTTTAAAGAACCCATGTCATGATCTGCACCACAATCCACAAGGCATTCAGGATCAATTAAATACTAGCCAAAGAATTGAGAAGGAATGTGTGGAGATTTGTCAATCTAATACTAACAAAAGATACTTACACTACCATGGCCAACATAATGAATGTAGTCCCCATTGTCTAGATCTCACAGTAATTAATCCCAGTAATAGTGGAATTATTGCAGATGATACAACTCCTATGAATAATTATCAATCTATTCCAACCCGCATCACCCAGCGAAAACCATCTAGGAAACATAATAAACGTAACAAAAATTCGGGAAAGGATTTTCGTGCACGTACAATGTTGAGAGACAAAATGAACTTTTACAAATATTATTATTAGACGAGGCCGGGGGTAAATCGTCTTCCAGGATGGAAAGTGAATTGGAAAGCTTACTTGAACATTGTTTATATAATAATAACCAGGAAAATGTCAACCCAAACCTCATCTGTCGTAAGAGAATCAAGTCAAGCAATTTAATTCATGTATCTGTGAACCCCGAAGTTAATAGTAAAACCGTGTCTTGTTCGTCGCATTTTGTACCTACTATATTATTGTCAAACACTATGTCGCTAGCCCCGAAAATCGATGAAATTGCTGTATTTCTTACTTCGAATCATATAGATATTGCCTTTTTCAGCGAAACATGGTTAAAAGAATCCGTTCCAGATGAAGCTATTAATATTACAAATTACCAATTATTCAGGCGTGATCGTCAACACAAATCCCATGGTGGGGTTTGTTTTTATATTAACAATACCATTTCTTGCAACCGCCTAACGGAGTTAGATAGTGATAATCACGAAGTATTGTGGCTAGCTTTACAACCAAAACGACTTCCACGAAATTACTCAAATATGATAATAGCTGTTGTGTACCACCCTCCAGATGCCGATTGTACAAGTATGCGTGACTATGTCCAATCTTCATTAGAATATATTGAATCTTCAATTCCTAACCCTGCAATCATTATTGCTGGTGATTTCAACAAATTGGACTTACAGGCTACTGTTAAACCTTTTCAACTAAAACCAGTAATTGATTTT